CACGTCGCCACACCACCCCGGCTCCGCCGTTTCGGTGCCACGCGAGTGGCGGGCGGAGCCGCCTCCGCCGACGAGCTCGCGGCGGCGGATGCCGCGCCAGGTGAGCTACACTCTGCGGAGGAGCTCTGGTGGGAGCTGAAAACGCAGCACTTGAGGTGCGTGGCTCTGTGGGAAAGAATAGGCAGAACAGATGAACAAGGAGCAGACTCGAACACTTGATATATTTCAACCCTGCAAATGAGACCTCTTTCTGAATGAGGTCTTTTAGAATGGGGGTTTCATGCATCAAGAGTCGATCAACGACGTGGAAGGAATCATGGCTTGATCCGGACGTGTTGTGGTCGGAGTAGCGAGGGAGATCGCCGTTTGGGGCGAAGACCACGGGTTCCACCGTTTTTCTTTGGGGGCCCGTGGAGCTCCTTTGTTTTCACTTTATCATCGTCAAGAGTTAATCTCTGGTTGATCAGGGCGTGGATTCAAAAGCACTCACCGACTCACATCCCGATCCTATGTGGAAACACCTCTTTTTGACCTCTGACCCTCCCCAAATTGAGAGCCCACCGGCCACCATTCATCCCCATTCCTCACCTCTTTTTCGGCTGTAAGCCGGTGAGGTGAAACGGACTGGCCGCACACTGAAGGGAAAACGGGGGGCGGTTCACATCGAAGGGGTGATCGAAGCGACTCGCAGCTGCGAAGCCCAGCCAAGACTGGCAGCGATTCGGCCAAACTCGGGGGGGGGTCGGCAGGTCGCCCTGGAAGTCGAAGCACTGTGCCATTGGCTCATAGCCATACCGAACAAAACCAGATCAACCCAAGTTTATCAATCTTTCAAAATGGTTGAACAAACTTCCAGGGCTCGTTTCGTTCGCTTGTGTCCTTGTTCGAAGGACGAATGCCTCGCCTCGACTAGGCCGGACGTCATGACCTACAGCTCCATGATCAGCGGTTATGCCAAGGCCGATGACGGCAGCCCATTTTGGGGTGCCATGAGCCGTGAAGGTGAGGTACCCTCTTTAACCTGCACCATTTTGCTTTTGTTGCTTTCCACCATCTTTCGGTTTCTGGGCGAAGAAAATGAAATCACAGCTTCATGCATTTCCAATGACCCTGTGACAGAGGTCGTAAGGGTCGTCAGGCGGGTCCATTCCTCTCATTTTTTATGCCCACCTTCCTCCACACGTGTCCAGATGGTGGAAGATTCGCCTTCCTCCAGCGTTCTTTTTGCATCCTTTTTCTCCAAGCTGGGCCTCTGGCCAACCTGAAGCGTGTGGAGCGAGCCGAGACATGGTCGAGTCGGATTCGCCGCCGGACTCCAAAAGGGTCTGGTGGACCATCCCCCCAAAAGCGACCGGAAAGAGTTGGTTGGAGACGCGACCTTGTGGACGTCACCCAGGTGACGTGCTAATTTGCCAACATTCACACTTAGAGGTCCGCAGCACTTGACCCGAGTTCTGCTTTGCATTCGGCCCGGATGGCACATCTGCGGACGCGAAAGCGAAAAGAAACGAGTCCTGGGCTTGCAGAGCTCCTCATGATGCTAGCGAAGCAGCTGTTGGTGTGGTGTCGGACAGTTTCCTCAATTGTGGGGAGGGCCCAGTTTCCTTCTTGTAGGCTTGAGCTTCCCTGTCACTTTCCTTTTGAAGATCATGTCCGCGTGGCGAGCCTTTGTATGGCTTTTGGAGCACGCAGGGCCGCTGCCAAGCTAGGCTTTTACTTGAGGACGCAGGACGGGAGCGCCTTCAAAGCCGAGTCTTACGGCTGGCGGAGTGGAAGCGCAGGAACTTGCTCAGCAGCCTAGGTGATAGCACTGTAGATCGTGCTGTCTAAGTAAGGAAGAGCGAATCTTTCCATCAAGTTGGCTTGAGGAGTTGACCTATGTGTTGCCTTTGCCCTGAACAAATGACCGTTCCAATCAGGGAGCCCCCATGATTGCAACTCTTGTCCAACCACTTCACATTGGAAGTGAATAGAACCCATGAAATGCCCGTAGCCTTGGGGCACTGGCGGAATTGACCCGACAACCAAAGAACTGTTGAGCACCGATACGTAATTAGCATCGAGAGGCGTGGGCCAGGGTCAAAAACAAACCTGTTTGCGACTGGAGGATTTGAGAGGGCTTCTTTCTGCCTGAGTGTTTTTTTTTTCGTTTTGTTCAATCAGGTCCGCTGCAGTTGGTGACAAAAAACTTGATAACCGATCTAGTTTTGGACTTGAGGCTGAAAAGTGTTACTTCCATTTCAAGTCTTTTCTCCTATGTTTCTATGATGACTTCAAAAGGAACCTCAAAAAGGAGGTAACGATGTGTGCACTCCTGTGGTTTTGTCTGAGTTCATTTTGGGGTCTACGCAACAGACCTTCGAAAAAGGCGTCCTTCAACTCTCAGGATCCCCGTCCTTCACCTGGGACGAGGGACGAGGAACTCTCCACATCCTCAGCGCGCAACGCCCACAGGTGCGGGGCTGCGACCGGGCAGAGGAGCTTTGGCGAAGCATGCGAGAGAGGCCGGGACAGAGGCGAGAGAGGCGAGAGAGGCGAGGCATGCGCTCAGCATTTGGAGCTTTGGGTGGTGGAAAGGAGGTTGAAACCCACCCTGTGGAGGGAAAGACCTGCCAATTTGGTGGCAGAAGCTGTGGTTTCGATTGCTTGGTGAAGTTGAGTCGGGATCATCAATGACCTGATTCTGATTCTTTTTTCTCCTCGGATGTTGCAAGACCACCACGAGCACATTGGACGTTCTGGTCAGCTTCAGATTGAAACTTCCAACTCAGCTCTTTAGATACTCACCGACACATGCTGATCGATGCTGAGCCCAGGTGGTCAAGCTCTCATTGGATGGACGATCGAATTCCGTTCGAGCTTGTTGTAGTGTGACCTGCGCAACGTGACCTGCGCAACGAGCTTCCTGCAGTGCCATGATTGGTTTGGACACGTTGGGACTCCTTTTTTTTCCTCCACACTGGCCACCAGCAATGATCCATGCTGATTCCACGACTCCAAAGCCTGAATAACGAATTATCCTCTTCTGAGCTGATTCAGGAATGTTCCAACTCCCAGTTTCCATGGGTGCTAACTCCTACTGAGACTCTGTTAGACCACTTCGGACACCACCACAGACCCTGCGGACCCTGCGGACTCTGCGGACCTTCTCTTCGACGATGCGATTTGGAACCTGCACCCCAAAAGGGAAAACCACCTCGATCCAGACAGATCGACCTGGACCGGAGCGACCGGCGCTCGACCTCCCGGAAGCGACCCGACCGCCCCCACACCCGGCAGTCGCGTGCGGCCGAATGTGGTGACCTACAACGCGCTTCTGGACGCGCGGGTGAACGACCAGCTGGCGCAGGCGGAGGTAGGCGGATGAAAGCGCGAGAGACGAAAAAAGGGATGGGTCGTTAGTGCATCGCTAGTAGTAGCAAAGAGCTACTGGTCTACTAAGTATAGGTATTTGCTATTCGTAATGCACATGTTACTATGGATGGAGGGATGGGTCGTTCAAAACCTAGAGCCCATGTGTCAGTCCACCATGTGGCGATCCACCGACAGGTAGGTCAACCCACAGCCATGGCTATGGGTGGTGGTGGAACTTGCTTTTAGGCCGTCGCGTTAAAAGCACCCGAGCTTACAGGAATGGTTAGGGCTCGCAGGTGGGCGTCAGGTTCAGACAGCTTCCATTTCTTTCTTTTTCTCTCTCCCCCCGACGCTTCAAGCTGGGCTCGGCTGGGCGGGTGCTTTTTCCAGTCCTTTCCCCTTTGCTGGGCGATCGACAGAAAGTGGAGCAGATCGTGGGATCCCTGGGATCCCCAGTAACTATGGAAGTAGGACGGAACTCTGAAAGTGATGGGAGAGCAGAAAGCAGTTCCGCTCGACGCCCGACTCGACTCCGAAAGCGGTTCCCGACTCGGAACGACTCGACTCCGAAAGCATCGACTCACGGTGGATCCTAAGCTGGTTCGCTTGCTAGCATTGGATCCAATTCGCCATGGACCCCCAAACAGCTTCAGCATGATGTTTTTCCCCAACACATGGATTTTTGGGAGGAAAACACCCCAAGGTTTCGGTCGTCCGTCTTTCTTGAAGACAATGGACTCTTCAACTCGAGCGGCTCGGGAGGCCTCCCGGCTGTCCGAAGCGCCGGGGGGGGCGGGCTCCGCAGGAGCTGCTTGGGGAGATGAAGCAGGAAGAGGCGGAGACGTCGGGAGTTCCGAAGTTCGGGCTCTGAAGATCCCCGACTCGGTCGTGGACAGCGGGGCTGGGTCCGAACGCGGGTGCTGGTCCAAGGAACGGAGGTGGCACGGTGAAGTGAGGTGGCGCTTCTAACTAATCTAATGTGAAATGGCTTAAAACGTGTTCCATCCAACCCTTATGGCCTTGTGGCCTTCACCAATGGTTTTTGAAGGAAGTTATGATCTACCCGGCTCTGTGGAGTCTTCTGGCGCCTTCCTCCACCCGAACCTCTACCCGCTCGGCTGGGGGCATCACTCTTTAGCTTTCGAATCCGGACCAGAACGCGACTCACTAGGTAGGTGGCTCATGGCTCATGGGTGAATTCCAGGGTCCCAGGACAGGTATTCAATATTCACAGAAGTCTTCGAAGATGAGGTTCTCGTTCAGGACACCTTCAGAAAGTGGATGTGAAGTAAAGGCGGGATATTCCAACAGGGTGCCCTTTTTTTGAGTTTGTGCTGGACATGCCAAATCTATGGTCTAGAGTCTATAAAGATCTACACGGACCTATGGTTTTGGTTTTCTTCGTCCCTTGCCAAACCCTGGACACCAACTTGGCCCAGAGAAACGGCATACTGTAAAACTTGGAGCTGAGCACCGTCCAGGCACGTTAAAAACACTTCCCTTGATGAGGCAGGATCCAGGAGGAATCCCCAAGCCATCATCCTCAGTCAGACAGAATCTGGAACATTTCGAGCTTTGGTGCCTAGTAAATCCTTCATGCACAGCCCATTGCTATGCCTGCGCCGGCTCTGACACGCATCGGCTGAATGCCAGAGCTGGCCGGGGCCTCGTTCAAAACGGCTGGGGTGCTCCTAAACAGTCTCTTCAAATAGCAGGCTGGATGGGATAGTAGACAAGTAACTTGGAGGATTAAGGTGTCGCATGCAGGGGGCCAAATAAAAAGATGCACGTGATGCACTTGCGAAGAGATGCATCAGCTGCTTCACGCTTACTCTGGACATTTTTCGATGGTGGAAGGTTGGACCCAGCAAGATGCGGAAGGAAACGATGGACCCAGCAAGACACAAAAGGATAAAGGGGCCTCCGGACCCAGATGGCATCCTTTCTTCAAGCTGATCGGACCGGAAGCTTTTGCGACTTTTCGTGCCTCGTGTGGTCCGAACTTCCGGGAGAGAGTTGACCGCGTCGGTTGACCGAAGCGAACCGAAGCGAACCTTGGCCGCGTCGGCTGAGGGCCGCATCGGCGAGGAGGATCGCCACCCCGCGAGGCCCCGGATGGCGCGAGCGTCGGGGCGTGACTGGCGTGCTCAGACCGCAACGAGAGAGGTGAATGAATGACTGGATGCGAACGCAATGAGAACGCCAAGATCAGACATGTGACATGTACTTTGATTGGGATATCTTGGGTCGAATGAACTATGAGCAAAAGCACTACCTGAAGATGTGTGCAAGTTATCTTGTAGATGTATCAATCCGTATGGTTGACATTTGCAAATATTTCATGAAACGTACCACTTGAGGCAGAACAACGTATGCATTTTTGGAATTTTGAAATATACGAGTATATCAAAGTGTTTCACGGTGTACTCATATAAACATGAAGTCTTTTAACATCATTGTTTTCATCGCACGTGGTCGGTCAGCTTTCCTTTCCTCCACACTGGCAGACCGGGCATCAATTGTAGCCATGGCGTGCACCATCAGTGAGTCTTGGCCGGTTGGTGGTGTTAGAGATGCTTTCATGATACAAAAGCACTGCCTGCATCATGACATTTGTCAGGAATGGTCGGTTCCTCTTCAATCTTTTTTTGCTTTCAAACTTTTGTAACACACCGATTATGTCAATGTCATTCAAGTCAACAAGCTGCCTTCCAGCCGACTCGGGGCGCTCAGCGACTTCGATTCGGAGGGCACCCCTCTGTGCTCACCCCGTCGCCAGGAAGGCCGATGCCAGATCACAAGTGGTGGTCCGGCGGCCCGGGAAGATGCGGAGTCCAGGAGGTCTGGACGGGACGTCTTGGATGCTTCGGCAGCACATGCGTCTTGCGAAGGATGAATTCTATTCTGGAGCCCTGCTTCATCTCCAGAATATCTTGTTTGATCTTGGTTGCTTCTTTCTTCCTTTCTCGCACAGGTCCGTCATTTGTAGCTTGTGATGGCTTGCATCTTCACAACTCATCTAATTTGTATTTTTTGCTGTGGTTCCCACAGCCTGTCTGGCTCCCTCAGCGAGGAGCAACACCACATGTGGACATGATTTCGGCCTTTTTGGGCGAACAGTTGAACCTCTGGGTGCTCGACAAAGGGACATCGACTCAAATCCTTTTTAGTCAAAGGGGTCTCCGTAGGCACGCATATGTTTGGCAATTCTGGTTGGGAGAAGAGATCAGCATAAACCATTGTTCGCTCTCCTTGCTGTTGTCTTCCTAAGAACATCTCTCATTTCCGCACGGTTCGGTCACATCACAGGTACGAAACGCGAAACAAGTCGTATACACGTCTAGCGAGGTTTGCGTCCCATGTCTAGCGGTTGTTCTGCCCCATTTCCGATGCTTTCTGCGTCCCGCACCTGGCGCCTGAGCTGAAAACGCCTGAGCTGAAAACGCCTGGAGCGCTCGGTAGCGGCCAACCAGGTGATTGGCTGGTTGGCCTTTTGTGGTCCGGGGCTCTTCAATGCCTTGAACGGGCTCGGGAACGCCACTTGGACCAGATGGTGGGGATGGGTGAAGTTCCACGAGTTGCGATGGTGGGTTGGGCAGTGGAAAGGTGAACAATTGGGAATCGATTTTTGGGCCACTTGCAGACGGATTTGGGCATTCTAGACTTCCAGACTTCAATTATATACACATCTTCCAGACTTCCAGACTCATTTCGCTTCCGGTTTTGACGCGGTTGTTGCGTCCATGCCAGCTGGATTTGGACCCACTGTTGGTTTCATGGGTTTTCGCTTGCCAGCAAACAGTCAAACGAAGCCATGGTATCCCTTTTTGGATCAGAGGCCGTAGACCCCGAAACCCAATGGTTCCTGGGTGCGGATTGACCCGCCAAGGCCGGCTCGGACGACGCTGATGTCGCAGCGTTGGCCAACGGCTGCTTATACTGCCCTGTGTCTGCATGGGAAAAAATAAAGGTCGTTTTCCGTAGTGAGGAGCTGGCCGGTGTTTTTGATCTTTCTAACATAGATCTCTAATGCGGAGCAGTTCACGCTCTTCGAACGACTATAGAGAAGCACCTGATGAAGTCATATAGCCCGTGTCAATGCTCTTCCCGAACCAATCCCAAGTGGTGTTCTTCTTTAGGCAGGGCTTTGCCCAGACCAGTCTGAACTACCTACGAAACCGGCCCTGGTTTCTTGCCCCCGTTCTCTCCGGTTTCCCTTGGACCCGACGATGGACCGTCGTTCCGAGGCACCTTCGCGTTGTGCGGCTACTTCGGCTCCGTCGCCTTCAACCTGCTGGGCCCCACGAGGCGCGGTGAGCGGTGGAGCGGTGGAGAGCAGACACGTCGAGGGGGCGCCTCGACTGGCATCGATGAATGGGTATTTCAAACAGCTGGCACCTCGACTCGGCAGGCGATGAATTGAGGGACATCTTCGGACTACACCTCCAAACAATCTCGGTCCAACCGAGAAACCGACCGAAGGACTGAAGGGGAAGCCCGAAGGACTCTCGGAGTGGGACACGGGGTGGAGGTTCGGTGACTGAGACGATTCGTGTTGACTGAGACCCTCCACACACGAACCCATCCACTGGTGCATTTCGCATATCATTTGCAAGAGATGATGGAGACCTGGAGACCTTCCTTCGGGCCTCTCAATTGAAGGCTCTCACTGCTCGGGCGCCCTCTAGGTCATCCAGAAGCCTGTGTAGATGCAGCACCCTTCATCCACACAACCACGAGTGGAGATGCAGGAAGATGTGTAGAACCACCAAAAGACTGGACCTTCGAATACCAAGAACATCCGTGTTTTGGATCCCAGTTCCGAGACCTGGACTGTGCCTGTGCTCCGTGTGCCGTCACCACTCCGCGACCTCGCTGGTGGTGCCGAGACCATCCCGCCTCAATTTCTTGTTGTTTCTCTTAATCTCATAGAGCTGGAGGACCAAGTCGACGACCTGTCCGGGTTTTGCGCGAAAAAGAGGTACGAAACAGGAGGTGCTGAGATGTTCTTTTCGCTCGTCTTTCTTTTTGGTTCTGAGATGCCCAGGGCTGCACCTCAGCATCCACTGGGAGTGGGGGCCATCCATCCATGGCCATCCAGTCTGGTCGGTTCGGAGTGGTTCGCTTCGATCTCCAAAGCGCTTCGAACCGCCGCGTGGTTCGCTCCACCCTCCCCAGGCTGCTGTCTTTGGGCCGCTCGGTGAGAAAGCACCCTCCGGTCGCACTCAGAATCACCACCCTCCAAAAAGCATATGACCCCTTTTTCTGGTTCGTTCTCAAGTGTATGACTCATAGATGATTGGTTCCACATGGTCTTGGGCCAGCTGTCCACATGTCCCCTTCCCCAAGAACCCGGAGCAGATGGGTTGGTCTTCAGAGTACCAACACCTGCGACCAGTCGGAGCACTCTGCAAGTCGGACTGCCCCGCCCTCCAGCTCTCACCAACCACAGGTCCGTGGCCCCCTTTCCGATGGTCGTCCCCCCGGTCCTACTGCTCACAAAGAACTCTTTGGCCGACTCACGGAGTGGTTTTCCCTGATTGGCCAAGACCCCGAGCGAGTGGTCACGGAGGTGTTCTTTTTCACGGTGGTGGGTCACGAAGAAATACGCTCACTTGGGCGCCAAGGTCCATGTGGATCTCAGTCATTCATTTTGGGCTGGACCGTTCATGGAGGTGTCATTTCGGCAGAACGGCGAAGCGATGGTTCTTGAAGTCCAGACATCACTGGTCGGGAAATCAAGGAGATGATCAAAGGGTGCCAGCTTTGTCATGATGAACTCACACATCAAACGGTGGACGTTGTCGTGGGGGCGAGCAGATTATATAATGAAGATGGACGAGACAGCTGCAGACGCAGGCCTTTCTCCAAAATCAGACGTGATAGTATTTTTGAGACAAAACATTGTGACCTGCTCCTAGAAGGGGGGTTGGATCAGTTTGGCAATGAAATTGACTTGGAGTCTTTGTTTGTGGTTGAAACCTCAAGTGGTGCATTCATCGGATGCATGAGTCTAGCCGGATGCAATGGTGACCATCCCGGGCTCGGTGACTGAGATTGGCAATGCTGCTTTTGCAGAATGCATTGCTTTGACTGTGGTCGTTCCCACTACTCGGATCCAGTTGGGACTTGACGCCGGCTGCAAATAGATTCCAAAGAAAGCTGGTTTCTGAATGGCTGGGTGTGTCCTCCACGGCAGTCTTCACATCATGGCAGCCATGTTGGCCATGCCGGCCGTTACTGAGAGCCTTTTGAAGCAGGACATATACTTGCCGGGCTGCGACAACAACAAACCATGTCAATTTCCCCTGATGGCAGGTCAACCTTTGAAGCAAGTTGGTAAAACAATGTCAATTTCTACCGCAAGCCCTTTCAGCTACCCAACCCCTTTGCTCGGCTACAAAGGTGGCAACCGACCGTGCTGCACGGTGGCGACGGATTTCACCGGGGGACCTGGGTTGGCCACCGGTGACCAGCCAGGTCAACCTCCTAGCTCAACTGTTGATCCAGGTGCCACGACCGCCATGACCGCCGGTCCTGAAGAACGATGGTCGTCGATAGGCCCGGCCCTCCAAAATAAACCAGGGAGGTGGTCGCCTCCTTGGAACGAAGCGCATATGCCCAAAAAAACATGGCGAGTGATCCTCCATTACACCCACAAGCTGGTTGGACAACCGTGAGCTGGTTGGCGAAGCAACGTCTATCACTTTGAGCTACTCCGAACCAACATGCAGGGCACGGTGTACGCAGTCAACGTGTGTTATATCGTCATGGTCACAATGTTTTCGTTTGCAGAAGCCGCATGGATCAGGCAGATGTGGCCACCCTCCCTTCAGGCAGACGGGCTGATGCACCTTTTGGACCAGTCAGGGCCTCCCGTCCTCCTTGGTGAAGGCTTCGTCCGTTCCTTTTCACCAGGAGATCGGGTTTGAAAGGCTCGGTGAACGGCTCGGTGGATCGGTTCGGTCAATAGTTCGACAATGAACACCCATCCCAGACAGAGCCCTTTTGATGAAACGGGCAGGTCTGAACTATCGTCCAAAAGGGCACTTTTGGTCACAGCCTTGGGAACAAGCGAGGGTTTCTCTCCTCCAGACCTTCGTCCATGACCCCTAGGGCTTCGTCCATGACCCCTAGGGCTTCGTCTAGCAGGTTTCTGATCCAGTTGATTTCAGCTTGGTACGCCGAGGCGGTGCCAGCTATGCCGTCTATGCGAGCTGCGTCTACTTCTCGGTCGGGGCGATCTGGTGGAAGACGGGTAGACCCGCGGAGACGGGTGCCGGACGGCCTTTCTTTGTCGATGCCACGTGCGGATAGACTGGACCTCTGTTCATCAAAATAACGAGTGTCTTTGCTACATCCATCTGCGTGGAGGGATCGGTTTGTTCTGGCTTTTGCATGGATGGCCACTCTGGTTGGCCGTATTTTTCCTCACCTGGATCGCCCGGTTTCGGGCCGGTGCCAGGTGGTTTTTGGGACTCTTCACGGTGCCGAAGCTAAAGCAGAACACCAGCACATGTCTTTTCAACGGGTAGACCTGTGAATGTATACTCTATGCTCCAGGGTCTATTGTTGTTCAATGGGCGGAACCCTTTTTGTTCTTCAATCCATTGAAAGCTCTTGCTGCAAACATGAGTCTGAGTGGTTCCCCATCATCAGCAGATAGGATGTCCGATGAACGAAGGCATGGGACAACTCAACCTGTGACCTGCACTCACATGGGGTATTATGCCGAATAGGAACACCACCGAGCATTGATGTGGTCAAAATACAAACATCAAACAACACATTCCAACAGAATGTGTGCCAGAAAGCCACTATGAAAAAAGTAAGACCCTCCCACCACCAACAACTGTCCTTGTGGGACTACCTTAGAAAACTCTCCACCTGCAACTTCGCTCGGCGCGTTCTTTCGCCACGCGATTTCCGCCAGGTTCGCGCCAAGTGGCTCGCCGTGCTGGGTGGCGTGGTTTTAGGCGAGTCCCGTCCCGGGCGTGTTTTTTGGGAGGTGGGAGGAGTGGAGCGTGCCATGCGGTGGAGGTCTTTTCCTGTGGATGTGGGACATTGGATGAACAGAGCGATGGCAGGATGTCAGGAGGTCTGCACGTAGCGTCGCCTGTTTTGGATACTGTCTTGTCTTTGAACACAACAGGCTTGGAAGAATGCCGACAGTGCCAAGAGTTGCCTACCGCAATGCTCGCATCACCAGAGAATGCTTGAAGATCTCTTCTCGTGGAAAACGGTCTCGCTCGGTGCGCACTGATGACACGGATCACAGGGATCACGTGCCATCGGAGCCCGGGCTGCGTTCGGTGTTGGGCAGGTTCCTTTGTGCAGCGTGGCAGCGGTGTTTTTTCGATCGACCACTGTGTGAGAGATGAAGCTCTGCATTTCGATTTTACTGAGAAACTCATCACCCCCAACGCGCGACCTGGCAAGGGGCCGCCCTGGGTGAGTGACATCCACGCGAACTCGTTGGCGCGTGGTCCGGTGGTGTCAGTGGTGGTCAGTGGACCGACGTGTTGACGCGCGACGCGCTCCTTCCGGAGGACGTTGAGCGTGGACGCGTTTGGACGCTCGAACAAACAGCTGTTCCCTGAGGTGTTTTTTGTCCTTGTGAAGCGACCTGAGAGCTGTACGACCTGACAGCTGCGCTCTGTTTGGGTGAAAGGTGGAAGCAACAAATATACTGCGGTGGGCTGTTACGTGAAGGTGCTACTGTTCCTTCGCAGAAGGGTGACCAAGCCATGTTCTTTTGTTGAGGATCTCTGGCCAGCTTCCGAACAGCTTCTCCCAGAGTGCCTTGACACTCACCCTGATTCTAGGCTTAGGGCTAACTCACCCAGTTGTCGGAGGGCCCATCACAGGATTTCTAGATTTTCTTGGTGTTCTTCGAGTGTCCCCGCACATGGTGGGGGCCAGAAGGGTTTGCGGATCCGCCTGTTCTGGAAGCCACTGGCGCACTTTCTTGTTCCTCGCACGAAACCTGGCGAAAGAGTGGTTTCATGCAGACGCAGCTTGCTCCGAAACCCAACGGTCTCGACCATGAATCGGTCGGCACCTTCGACCATGGAGTCCGGAACGCCCGACGGTGCAACACCTTCGCCACGCAAGAGGCAGACGCAGCGCGCCATGTCGTTCGAACGTCCGGCCTTTTCTGGACTTCACCAGGCTGGAATCCCAAAGGTCAAGGTAAATCCATGGATTCGGGACTTCAGAACCTTTTGGTAAATCCGCTTCTTAGGTCTGTCCTCACATCCAATCCATCCGCATCGCTTTCCAGGCATCGGTGCGGGGCTCTTCTGGACGGCCCAAGGCGCGACTCGCCTCGTACCGCCTCGAAACGCCTGCGGGCGCGAGGCCGAGGTGAAGGAGGAGGTGAAAGGGGCTCTCTTTTTTAGTCGTTTTCCTCCAAGAAGATAAGGGAATAGGCAAAGATTTAGAGTTGGAATCATTCCAGCAGGTGACTGGGTGGTGCCGGAGGTATTTTTCTTGGGGCAAGATGTGGTCTTGGGGACCACGCCGTGACCAGTGGTTTTGTGCGGGGTCCCAACATTCGCATTTTGTGATTGGAAGCAAGGGATGATATTGTTGGGTAGGAGCAACAACTGGGGATATTTGGACCTAATTTCACTTGTACATACTAGATCCAATTTCAGCTCCTTGTGGAGATCAACCTTGTTCTTCTGAGGGTTCACTCCTGTGACGCGAAACCATACGAACGTGGCCTTGCTTTCTTCAGGGAAGCTGCAGCTTCGAACATGGCATGATCAGAAAGTGCAAGGCTACACACCACAGTCCCCGGAGCTCGACATGGGGCCCGAGACGCGGACGCATATCGCCCCACCAGGTATGGGGACGCTCAGGTGATTCACTGCATCGGAAGATATGGCTCCGGGCTTCGAGACGATGTCGCCGTCGATGTTCGCGTCCGCGGAGGTTCACTGATGATGGCCTACGCCACACCCAAATCCAGAGGCGGGGGCCAGTGGCCCCTTGGTTCGGAGGGCCGTGCCAGCCCCTGTAATGGGCACCTAGATTCCCCTCACAAGACCATTCACAGGGGCCGCTGAAACCTTGGAGAAGTTTGGAGATCGACACCCCCAATTAAGAACTTTAAAGACCTTTTGACTGCAACTTCAACATGTGTAAACGTTGTCTCACAACGAGCCAGCAAAGCAGGGATTTCTGAATTGCTATTGGATAACTCTTGTGCCTGCTGCAGGCGTCGAGGTTCTGTCTACAATCAAGTCAGGTCATGCGTCTATATATAATAGCAATTTTTACCCCATGGCAAGTTCCGGAAATGCTTCATTTGAGCAGGAAGAAGTTAGAGTCGGTTGAAGTAGAACACCTTCGGCTGGTACTGTACAAATCTTCATTCAAACTCACCTTTCCTTCTTTAGTTGAGACCCCACCCCCAACCTAGCCCTGCCACATGAGGATCTCCAAATATCTCCCAGCGGAAAAAAAACACAGATCACACTGATTCCCCAAACAGTGTAGACACACTAGGGGTTCTTACAGTGGTAGTTTAGCACCGGTGTCTAATCGAGGTGTTGCGCCGGGGCGTCCGGCTAATTCGCTGCTATTTACAATACATTCATGCCTCTCGAAATCCTCGAAGTGCATTTCGACTGCGCAGGCTCGCAGAATCTGCTGGGGGGCGGCGGGTGCTTGTCGCGACTGCGCTCTCGTTGTGGTGCCGTGCGCGTTTTCGGACATGGTGGCCACTTTTCGTGGCAGGCGCAAAGGGAAACCTCGTGCTTTCATGGTCCTTAAAGTCGACTTTTCGGAGCGGTTTTACTTCGAAGTGCAGATTTCGTGGCAGGTGCAGCACTTTGTGAACCTCGAAGTGCAGATTTTGTGGCAGGCGCAGCGCTTTGCAAAGCTCGAAGTGCAGATTTCGTGGCAGGCATAGCACGACTTCGTGGCAGGTGAAGCACTTAGTGCTCTCAGCTCTCTCACTCTCACTCACATGCACACGCTCACCCTCACGCTCACGCTCACTCTCACTCACAGTCACTCACACTCACACTCACACTCACACTCACTCTCACTCTCACTCACACTCACTCACTCACCCACTCACTCACCCACCCACTCACTCACTCACTGACTGACTGACTGACTGACTCACTCACTGACTGACTCACTCACTCACTCGCTCGCTCGCTCGCTCCCTCACTCGCTCACTCACTCACCCACTCACTCACTCACTCACTCACTCGCCTTTGGAGACTCCTAAAATCTCACGAACTCCAATCTTTAACATTAACGTTCTTTGGGAAATGCATTTTCTAGACATTGTCATGGACGACGCAATCGCCTATCGATGGATTTTCAACTTGAAATTTATACCACGTCATTTTGGGAATACAATTTCTAGACACTGCGCCCACTTGTCCATTTTGTTGGGTGGGACTTGCAGGGCCGGAAAAAAACCCTAGGGTGGCCCCTAGCAAATGCAATCGCCATCCTCTCGACTTCGCAATTTTTACCGATCGATAAGGTTCACAGTAAGTCAGCCCGACAAACTCATACACGCGTCTTCAAACACTTGTGTATACGGGCAGATTGAATATCTACATTACATTCGTCTGGAATGAGTTGGTTGCTGTGGCCCGTTACAGTTTCAGGGGTTGCTTGTCTAGACACTGTGCCGCTGAGTGGTGCTTGCATTTCGCACATTTTTGGTTCGCAGCATTTTGCAGCGTCGGTGTGTAAGACATAGACCTGCTTTTCTCATTCTTTGCTTTTTCTCTCGGTGCCGACCTTAGGCAAGCCTTAGGAAACCGTTCAGGCAGTGAACAAAAGCAGCGGGTGCTAAATTTGCAAATCTTTTTCCCTCAGGTGCTCGCTATGGAGACGCAGGCGCAGGAATTCTTTTTATGTGTAATTAGACACTTGTGGCGAACAGTTTTTGCCTTGGCAGGTTTTGCCCCACTCAAGACCTTGTTTTGATTTGTACCTTGTCGATTGCGCGCCCTTGTCCCTTTGCCTACGTATTTTTGATGGGGGTTGTTGTTGGTGCGCCTTGGCTTCATGGCCTAGATTTTCTGAATGCGTCAACGGGTGTAAAGGTGCAACGCTTTCTCTTTCCGCAAGGTCGTGACCCCGGGCCATCCTGGTGCGGCAACGCCACCTGGGAAGCACGAATGGCGGACTTTGATGCGGAGGCCATGTTGTCCTGCTCAACGCTATGCTTTTGCGACTTGGGTTTTCGTTTTACTTGGCAGGTGGCATTTGAAGACCCCTCCGTTGAAGAGGACAAGCCCTTGTGTAATCTAGGTTAGCCCCTGGGTCCTTGTGGTTTCGATCCCGCTTTCTTGACGGGAGCCGGCGGTTGACGAGGAGATTTGCTTTCCCTATACTTGTTCTCTTTCTTGCACAGTTCTGTTATTGCGGCAGGAACCAATCTCTGAGAAGATCAACCTGGCCGGTAGCATTATGGTCGTTTTGCGTTGCTTTTTTGCATGTTGCTGTGCTTGACAGGGGGGCCTTTGAAATTCCCGCGTGCGAAGAAGACATGCTTTTGCGCGAACTTGGTCGCGTAAAATCGTGCATTTCAAACGTTTGTTGGCAGGAGTCGGTGGTTGACGAGGAGATTTGCTTTCCTTATGCTTGTTTTTTGGGGTACAGTTCTGTTATTGTGGCAGGAACCATTCTTTGAGAAGGACAATCCGGCCCATAGTGTTGCTGCAGGGTTTCCTCACATTGGTTTTGATTTTTCTATACGTGGCAGGTGGCATTTGAAGACCCCTTAAAAAAGGACTCGCTTTTGTTTGTCTTTGTTTGCCCTGCTTTCCCTGCCGTTGTCTTTCAATTGCGCTTTGCAGGATGCGGTGGGCAGCGAGGACGGTCGCGAGGCCAACTCAGTTTCCCTTCTTGCGCAGCCCAGTGATGTAGATGTAGATGTCCGGTGTGGTGTGATTGTGGCGGGCGGAATTTGAAAGCCCCACCATCGAGGAGGAGGCCAGGTTGCACGCCTCTTTTCAATGGTGTAGGAGATCGCGCTTGTAGAGGAACGAGTTGAGACAAGCCGCTGCTCATTCCTGTCCTTTGGTGAATTGCGCTGCGCTTGTCTATGCCGGGATGCGTGGAGGATGGAGTATGACCTATTTAGTATCATTTGTCGACGCTTTCTTTTTTAGTTCGGCTGCAAAACTTTGGCAGGACTTTTTCGTTGGTTGGGCGAATTCTTGGACGCCCTCAACGGCGAGGCAGGCGTGCGTGGTCTTGACGCGGCGCATTCTTTCAATTTGGCAGGAGCAGAGTGAAGACGAAGAGGCCGCTTGCAGTGACTCAGTGTTGACATTGCGCAAAACGGCGACGTGCAGATTTCGTGGCAGGTGCAGCGCTTTGGACATGGTGGTGATCTTCGACGAGCTCTGATTTCGTGACAGGTGCAGTGAGTCGTGGCTCTTGGCATGTGGCTCGTTTGCAAATTTCGCAGCAGGCGCAGCGTTTTATGAACCTCGAAGTGCAGATTTCGTGGCAGGCACAGCACTTTGTGAACCTCGAAGCGCAGATTTCGTGGCAGGGGGAGCACTTTGTGAGCCTCGAAGTGCAGATTTCGTGGCTGGCGCATCGCTTTGTGAACCTTGAATTGCAGAGTTCGTGGCAGGCGCACTCGATGTGCAGATTTCTTGGCAGGCGCAGTGCTTTGCAAACCTTGATGCGCAGATCTCGTGGCAGGCACAGCACTTTTGTGAAGCTCGAAGTCTAGACTTCGTGGCAGACGTATGAACCTCGAAGCGCAGATTTCGTGGCAGGAGCGCTTTGCAAACCTTGATGTGCAGATTTCGTAGCAGGCACAGCACTTTGTGAACCTCGAAGTGCAGAGTTCCTGGCAGGTACAGCACTTTGTGAACCTCGATGTGCAGGTTTCCTGGCAGACGTGGCGGCAGGCAAAGCACTTTGTGAACCGGGAAGTGCGGATTTCGTGCAAGGCGCAGCGCTTTGCAAAGCTCGAAGTGCAGATTTCGTTGCAGGCGCAGTACTGTGTGAACCTCAGAAGTGCAGATTTCTTTGTGGGCCTCGAAGTGCAGTTTTCGTGGTAGCCCCAGCGCAGAATTCATGGCAGGTGCAGCGCTTTGTGAACCTCGAAGTGCAGATTTCGTGGCAGGCATAGCGCTTTGTGAGCCTCCAGGTGCAGATTTCGTGGCGTGCGCTTGTGCTGTCAGATGCTCACTCTCGGTCTCACTCACTCTCTCACTCACGCTCATGCTCACTCTCACTCTACTCCAACTTTCGCTCTCACTCACTCTGACTCACCCTCACTCACACTTCCACTCACTCTCACATTCATCACATTCACTCTCACACTCTCACTCTCTCGCTCTCTCAGCCCGACTCTCTGACTCTCGCCCTCACCCTCACCCTCACCCTCACCCTCACCCTCACACTCACACTCACACTCACAGTCACACTCACTCACTCACCACCACTGCACCATCACCACTATGTCCACCTTCATCACCATAGATCTTTAGACTTTCTGCTGCTACATTCCTAGACCACACACACACACACTTAAGGTTTTGTGTACGGAACTGACAGCGGTTGCCACACGCCAGCCTAGGTAACCATTTCCTAAGAGTACAGGTAAAACCCAAAGCGCAAGCACCAAATCGACGAGTGCGGATCGACTAAGATGACGACGTCCGCTCATGACTGCCGAGCTCAGTAGCGCTTTACTGGAGAGTGGAGTCACAACTTTGCCAACAGTTCAAACCGCAGGTACAGGAAACTGGCCAAGTTTCCCTTCCCACTCTTATCCACAGCTTCGTTGCGTGTGATAGGATAAGAGTGTCACACGCCCCTGCAAAGGAAAATCAAACCAGTCAAAACAGTTCAAAACAGTCCAAAGAAACAAGAACAATCCGACAGGATCCTTGTGATTCCAAGGGGCCCTTGCCGGCATAATGCATTTTTGTTATTTTTCTTTTTCCCAAGAGGGCCCTTTTCAGCCCAATTGTCTTCCCCAGAAATCGCTCACCGCGCCCCAGTCGATCCGATCCGCTCGGCTCGAGATGATCTGATCCGTCTGTGGGCCATCCGAAAAACCGACCCGCCAGGGCGCTTGATCGCAATCTTTTGGGTGATCTTCAACCTGGGAGGTGCCCCGTTGTGGTGTCTCGATCGAGCCGATGCCAATCCTTTCGATTTTTGGGCGGGTTCTGGGGGTCTGGGGGATGGTTGGAGGAGAGGGTGACGGGTGGTTGTGGTTGTGTGAATGGGGTCTTAGCTGGTTTGGGAAGATGGACTGGGTTTGGGTCAATTGCTGGGGGTGTGTTTTTCTCCATGGCCGCTCGCGCCGTGGAAGCGAGAGTTTCTCGGAGCGCATATTGGTCGATGGAGACGTTGTAGACCCAAGGACCCTCGAAGTGGTACAGGAATTTTCCATACTTGGCATGGGAAACCTCCCTTCTTGTACCACTTCTGAGTGCCTCAGACAAGTTCACTACACCTAAGAGAGTTGGTTGGCCACAGAAGGAAGATTGCTTCACATCGTTGTCACGACATCGAACAAGAATTGTCCCACCAACAGCAGCAGCCAACACCATCGCACCATCCGCACCACCCACCCTCCCTCCACACCTCCGCCGTGTGTTCCAGTCGCGTCCGCCGTCGACTCCGCGTCCGGCGACTGGACTAAAGACGGAGGTGTCTGTGGGGGCCTTCTGCAGTTCATGCTGAACTTCTCCGAGGAAGGAGCCTCTGCGACTCGGAACTTGGTGGAAGAGTCGGTGCCGGGGCTTTCTGAGCCGGACGGGGGGCCACGCGGGGGTGGTGGGCCACCCCGGAGACCCCACCAAGAGACGGAGAATGGAAGACGGTACGTTTCAAGAGCTCTTCAATACGCAAGGCGGAGAAGGCCGCATGGCCTGGGAGTACGAATGGAGTGCGGGATCCGCTTCGTCAGTGGAGTATCAACAAGATTTACTCTTTTTTGCTGTCGGATGATGACACTTAATAAGTGTGACCAGTCATGAAGCATCTGATATCTGGAAGTGATGTTCTCCGCGTTCCCTGTGGGGCCAATAGTTCGGCACCTCAGGTTCGCTCCGGAGTGCTCGAATCGAAACCACCGAGGCCAATCCCTTCTCCTACTTCGCGCCGCGCGGCCAGACATCGCGCCGTGCTGCGACAACGGGCCCACGATGGGTTTTCTCCAGTGCCAGCCGACGATTCATTTGGCTTTTTGTTGAGGAATGAGGGCTGGGAAGCCTCGGACCCAAGATTGTGCTCACTTCAACTCCCTTTTGCAGTTGCATCGAATGTGTATCTTGGGGTCCCCAAGAAATCCCTACAGTGTTTCGGATTGTGCAGTGTGTGTTTTGGTTCAACCACCGACCGCACCGGAGCCGTTTGCGACCGCGACCCGGCCTTCTCATCGGGTCTGGTCCAGTCTAGGTCCGCATGTGTCCAGGAAGACACAGGAAGAAGGGGCCCCAAGACATCGAGTTTCCCCAAGACTTCGCGTAGCTCTGGGCTCATCGTTTTGTCCTCAACAAAGCTTTGTTCTGCACAGATCAAATTGGGATTCCTCAGCTCCGATTCGAACACGGATCTCTTCGCTCAAAACCAGGGGATCTCTGGACTGGTCGCCAGAGACCCTCCGAGTCGACCGAGTCGAAACGAGTGGCGAAAGCCACGAGTCGAACACGACGCGTCGACCGCCGGAGTGGAAGGAATCGGTCCGAAAGCCGGGTCCAAGCCCTGAGTCTACTTGGGAAGGAATCAGATCAGGGCTACACCGAGCAGATCAGGGCTACACCGAGCCAAGGAGTGTCATTTCTTAGCAGTTCTGAGTTTTGCTACAACTCTCTTGGAAAGCCTGCGCAGACTTTCTGAAAGATAGGTTTCTTGGCACGTCTTGTTCGATTTTACGATTTTAGCAGTTGCAACACATTAAACATCAGGCACTGAATATGTTTTTTTTCCATAGGGGGCTGGAAGTTCTTCCCAAAGAACGTGCATTCTATGCTGAACTGTTACTTTGCTGAACATGCACACTTTCTCCAAAAGCGGTGGATTTGGAGCACCTTTTCAAACAGATGGCAGTAGCCACCATTCCCTCAAACCAGCCCAAACCAACACTTTGCACTTGACAAGCTGCTGAGGTTCGTTTTGGTTGCTTGGTGGAAGTTCGGGGTGGAGGTTGCCACAAGATCCATGGCTGGTCCAAGAGCAGATCTTGGAATTGCATGCGCCTCCAAAAAACAGGCCTCCAAAAAGTTGGCCAAGCAGCATAGTGTAGATGATGGTAAACGTACTGGGAGTCAGTTCTTCTTTGCCTTGATTGAGGTCTAACCCAGATGGCGGAAAGTACAGTTCAAAGAAAAGAACCTGTGCAAAGATCTCGTATCCTTTCTTTCAGGGCTGCGAGACAGAAATATTTTTCTGTGAATCACAGACCTCGGGGGTTTGCACATGTTTGTGATGTTTGCCACCAGAGTTGTTCATTCGTCGCCGACCGCACAACCCTCCCCGTTGGACGACACGGATGGACCGAGCGCCGCGTCCAGGTGATGCTTCTGGGCGCTGCGTTGGCGCCGGTGCTCTTGGCCGAGCCGCACCTGGGGCCGCAGGAAAGTGAGAGATGGAGGAGAGGAGAGGAGAGAGGAGAAGAGAGGAGAGGGAAAGAAAGGAAAGGAAAGGAAGCTGGAGGGGAGAGATGGAGGAGTGGAGATGGGTGTCTTTTCGTGGGTCGAAGCCCGCAAACGAAGAATGTAGTTCTACAAAAAGAAGAATGAGGGAAGTACTTCTCCAAAAAGACGATCGAATCTCATTCCTTCCTGAACACAGCACTTCGACACGAAAACTAAACCCCCCCAAAATAGGAATCCAAAACGAAGTCGACTTGTTGATCCAAAACACGGTGAAACTTCCGATCCGACCTGCTCACGAAACCGGCCGAGTAGAGGTCCTCGGTGCAGCGTGAGGATGGCAGTCCGGTGCTCTTCAGTCAGGTCGGGAAATAAAGGGGCTGGCCGTGGGCCGTAGTGGTGGGCTGGTCATCGTAGTTGTGGGCTCTAGATGGGTTTGTAGAACTTTCTAGCTCTTCTCAAGTGTTCAATGGGTTTGTGCCATCTACTCTACTCTGAAGTCTGATGTGATGTTGCAAAAGTGAAAATCGAACCTGGAAAGCTCTGTGTTTCCGAGCTTTTTGAAGTCTTTGCACAGGTATTTTGGGCGCGTAAGATATACAACTGATGCCTGCCTCCCGGATGAAGCAACATTGCATCTTAGAACACTCAAATAACACATCAGAATAGCTTTGCACCTGCGGTTTTTGGACGGAAAACGAAGGAAACGCTCCCTGAATTGATGCCAGCTGCCTCTGGAAAAAGCTGCTGGAAACAGCTGTGTGAGCTGTGGTTTGGAAAGATCATTATGATTTTCCTTTTTTTGGGTCTTTTTGGAAGTGGTGATCCGATAAGAATGACCCTTCCGTTTTGCCTCATTGGTCGTTTAGCAGATGGCCCACTCTTCATCTCAGGTCTCAAAGCGACTCACTTAGTTGGATCACTAAGAATCTCACTTGGTGTCTCGCACTGGTCCAGCGGATCACGCGCCCGTGTTGGGCTTCAGGCTTCGAGACCCCATTTAGGTGATGGTCTTAAAAGACCTTATCTTCCAAGAGATGCTCAATGCTGTCTAACAAGACGAGAGACACCAGAGCGGCTCACGGTTTTCTCCAAACCTGCCGGGTCCTCTTGGTGTTTCTGTGCTGTCGCAGAGCAGCTGGGCACAGGCAGAGTCGCCGCTGGAAGAGCTTCATGCGGCCGGGACCGGCGCGTGACGTCCGCGCGCGACGTCGGTGTGGTGCAGAAGGGTTGTACCGTAGTTCAACGCTCGTATGACTGGGCTCGGCAAGGAAGAGTTGAGTTGTCTTCAAGGTTCGTGTGTGTGATGCGTTTTAGGACAGAGGCCGAAGCCAAGTAGTAGGGCATCAATAGCCCGTGAAGGGAGAATGGGGTGACCCCACGGCGCAGGAGGGTAAGGACTCAGGACAGTTTTGGGAAAGGAGGTGGACAGTGGAGTTCCGGCTGGAATCCGTTTCCCTGTCAATGAATGCCAAGTAAGAATCCACTACTTCAGTTTCTCCTGTCGAATCTAAGGCTCTTAGGCTTGCTCATTGGTCGCCATTCTTGGAGTATCTCATGTGTGGAGAGTCTAAGTCACGCTGCTTTTCTTTCCCCACTCGGGATGTTCTTTGTCCCATCCCATCTATTTTTGCCGGTGCGATATTCTAACAGTACACTCCCTGAAAGCATCGTGGCACCTGTAGATGGCACCGAAGACACTGCTTGGGCCTTCGGATTTCATCCTCCTTTCGCCCATCCATGTCACCATGAGCCATCAAGGAGTGTCATGAGCCATCCCCACCAGCCCGGCCCGTTGTGGCCGGCGCCACGGAGCCATCGACGCGGCACGTCGCGAGTGGCCAGGCATGGCGCTCCTTACGTGAGCCCTTCATCCTGCGCCGCTGGGACGATGGGTCTCTAAGGTAGTGTAGACTGTCTTCCTTCTGGGTGCCAAAAAGGAAGATCTTTGGCAATGTTGAAGTGTTTGACCCGCTGGGTTAAGAAGTTGAGAAGACCTGCAGAGCTGGTCCTTTGGCAGAGCAAGCCTCGTTGACCACGAAATAATAAAGACGGTCTGGTCTGATGAGACTGAGAACGCTGGGTTTGTTCGGGTGGAGATGGCGTCAGATCTCATCTGGTCAGGATGCTTCGACGGTCAAGCCGGGGCCTTTTTGTGCTCAGGACGACAATGAGCTTGTCAAGAGTTTAAACTAAGTTTGGGGTATGTCGGAGATACAATTGTTTTGTCCTTTTTGCATGATTTTGAGGTAACTTGCTCTTCTACTTGGCCTCCAACTGGTTCTACACTTACAACTTCAATGGCTTCAATGGTCACCAGTGCGGAGCTTGGCGAAGCAGGAATTCTTCGAAGGGTGGAAGTTGGAGTTGGACCATGGACAGAAGACATTGTGAAGAGATGTGAAAAGGCAAAAGGAACTGTTTGCTTCCTTTTCGGAACCATGCTTTCTTTGATAAGCTGAAAAAGCATCTTTCCAAGACCTCTTTGGAACTCCGTCAGGAACCTTTGCTTCCCTTTCGGGCCACCAGTTGGAAGGACGTCAGGAAAACCTCCGCATTGGTTGGTACCCCAAACCTCAAGGAGTTTCCTTTTCGGGCCCATGTGAGTGTGATCCATCCATCTCCGCAGCTCCAAGCTGAACAGGTGGACCTCCAATCACCACCCCCAATGGGCACGATGCGACGCCGTTTTCCTAAAGATCCGCACGAGCTGGCAGGACATCAACCAATCTGAGGAGGGTCCAGCAGAGATATTTGGCTTTGTTGGACCAGAAGTCGAGCCTTTCCGCCTTTCCTCTCTCAACCGCCTTCCGTTCGGCACGCGGAGAATCCTCCCGCCGGTTCTCCGAGGTTCAACATCCGCACGCGGGGCCTGAACTCGGCAGCCTTCTGGGCAGCACAGATGTGGGCCACTCGGCGTCGGAAGGGCCGACGGGGGGAAGGAACAAGGAGGGAACCAGGCCGAGAGTCGAGTGTTTTTCTTTTTCTTTTTTGTGGTTTCGCGCTAGTTGGGCAAACAGACGCCACGGTGCGTGTGTTCTGTTCAATCTAAGCTAACATGGAAACTCATCAAGGCCATCACGGTGTTATACAGGTCCCCAGTGGGTTGGGAGTTGTGGAACATACCCCAAGTGTCCGTGAAGTCCCAACTCTCGTGGGATGAAATGATTGAATTCGTGTCAGCATGGGATTCCCGATTCTCCAATCCTTGGACACTCTCATTGGGCTGAAGAAAAACCCAGGTGATACACTTGCGGGGTGTTTTTGTGCATAGGCGTGGCACAGTGGAATATGGTGCTCCTCGAGGCCTTTCTGCAAGAACAGGCAGTAACGAATGGTTATTGAAACACCGATTCCATTCCACTTCACGCAGAGTGCTAACCTCTCATGCACCGTTTTCCCCATTTTCTCCCTAAGAAAGGGGAGGAACATCTCACTCCTCAACGATCAGGGCATACGAACACCGCCGGTTCCCCGTCCGAACACCGCCGGTTCGACCGACCCGAGGCGTCCTCCCGCTTTGGTCAGGCGGACGACCGGTGGACATCGGGTGACGACGTGGCGAGAGATGGTCACTGGAGGGATGGACTGGAGGATGGTTGTTCTTTTGCAGATCAACACGGGTTTGACATGGTAAACTACCCAGCCACATGAGTCTTGCTGCGCTTTGCTGCATGTAAAGCCCTGCTGTTCTGAAGGTTCTTGAAGGATCTCTCTTCCTGCTTCTCTGGTCTTTTCGGATGAGCCTCTCTTCACCAAACCAATTCCTGAGTGTACTACGATTTCAGCCCCCCAGAAAAAGCCTGGAGCTGCTGGAGCTGAGTCCGGTGATTGGGCTTCTTCGACCACTTTTGCTTTAGCAGGTCTTCTTTAAGAAAAAGGTCTTCGACCGGTCTCCAGCCCTCTGGAAGGGCTTAGGATGGCTTGCTAGGCTGCCCATCTTGGGCCAGTTTTTGAGAATCTCTTCTCTTCACACCAATTCCCACACCACACAATGGATCTCCCATCTGTTGAAGGAATGAACATCCCTGAAAACCCCTTAAACCTGGCCGTGAATCCTGGGTGAACCGGCAGAACTCGCGCAGGTCTTGGACTCCGACTCGCCGCCCCGGCAACGGGCACAGCGCCGTGGCCCAATGTCATAATTCAGGACGACATGCCGCTGGGGAAAGGTTCTGCACTCAAGTTTGGTTGGTTGGTTGGCTGTTTCTTTTAGACTTCTCTCACTTCTTGCACTTCGGGAGGAGGCTCCTGAACCACCCTGCCATCCGCATCTTCCCAAAGCGACGACCGGGACGCCCCGGAACGGATCGCACCGCGCGGGACGAACCGAGGCGAGGGATGCTTCTGGTCGCTGTGAGTCTGCTACTCTCGTTGGGTTTAGCGCTGCAGGACCCGGCTGGGCGGAGCGGACTGACCGACTTGAAGGACGAGACCAGACCGAGGTGGCACAGGTGTTTGAGAGGGGTCGGGGATCAATCATCTGTGAACCATTACGCCTTGCTTGTATCATTCTTCTAATGCACTAGCATTCCCCCCCCGACCTTCTTTATGACCTGTTTTATGAGAGGCACGACTTCCACCGGCTTTGTCAGGTTCCCCACACAAAGCACTCTTGATGAAGCAGCAATCCGACGGATCCGACCGGAACCTATACCGAGCCAAACGGACGGGATGTCTCGATTTCCAGTGCGAGGTGCTCTCTTGGTGGATATTTCGGATGGATAGAAAGAGCCCAGATGGATACCGTGTGGTCTTTTTGCGATATCTCCCATTTCCTGTGCTCTTTTGGTGCTCTTTGAAGTGTTATAGGTCGTATTGAGCCATGGCCATGAAGGTGCCATTTCGGCAGCTGAATGGGGAAGCGATGCTTCTTGAAGTCATGCCAGAAGTCACTGGTCGGGAACTCAAGGAGCGGATCAAAGAGTGCCAGCTTTGGGACGATGAACTCACGCGTAAAACCACCAGGGTGGACATTGTCGTGGGGCCGAGCAGAGTGCTGAAGAACGACGAGACAGCTGCCGATGTGGGCCTTTCTCCAGAATCAGACGCGACCGTAGTACTGAAACGGAACACTGTGACATGCTCCCACCAAGGGGAGTTCCACCAGTTTGGCGATGAAATTGACTTTGAGTCTCTGTTTGTGGTTGAAATCCCAAGCGGTGCAACTGAAATCGTTCCAGAAGCATTCCAGGATGCAAGACTTTGGCAAGTGTGATCATCCCCGACTCAGTGACCAAGATTGGGGAATGTGCCTTTGAAAACTGCAGCTCGCTGGCTAGTGTGACCATCCCCAACTCAGTGACCGAGATTGGGCTTGCAGCCTTTGCAGGATGCAGCTTGTTGGCAAGTGTGACCATCCCGGACTCCGTGGCCGAGATTGGC